ACTGTTTATGCTTTATAAACATAAAATGAGTTTTTATTTTGATTATATGTGTATATATATAAAAAACTTAAGAAGATAACATTGGATTTTTAAAAATCACTGAAATATTAGCATTATAAAGTTTATTTGATAAAAATTTATAGAATTATCTCAACATTAACATTCAGTTTATAATCATGGTTAAATTTTGTCAAGTTTCTGAAAGTATTTACTATGTCTCATTGGCCTCAAATGACAGCACAGTCTTTTTCTGGCCTTCCTTTCTGGGAACTTATTAAAACCACAGATTCTGCGGCCTTGCTCCCACAGATTGTCATTCTTGAGCTTTGTGATGGATGCCTAGGAATTTTGATTTTGAATTTAGTTCTCAGGTTATTGTGATGCTGCAGTCAGATTTAAAACAGTATTTACTGCTCTAAACCTTAAAGGAATGGCAATTATTTCCTCTGGCAATGAATCAAAATAAATGGTTTAAGAAAAATCTTCATAGATTATGGGGATCAGAGGTCCTTGAATTTACTGTTCTTGAAAAAAAAAATACCCTTTGCACAAGTCTTACAGTAGATTTAACATTATAGATTTGAACAATTCATGAGCAGCCTTGAAGGTGATTTTGAAATGGCAGGGATTTGAATTACTTTGATAGAGAGGCTGCTGTGTGAGTGAATTATTTAGCTATTGAGCAGAGTACATCACTCAGCATCCATGTCTTAATGAGTCTTTGTTGTTCTCTCGTAGTCACAATAACTTCCACTCAGTGTCTGAAATGGACATATATCTTTCAGTTACTTTATATCTATCATTATCTGGGAAAGTGTATTTTGTGTAGGTTTTCTTGAATTTTATAAAATCATAGAAGTCTCAGGAATGTCATAAGGCTGCTGCTTTTTCTTGTCCAAATGAAGGTATTCTGTAGCTAAACTGAGGCTGGGACTTATCTTCTGCTTCACATCTACTTCTCTCTCCTCACCTTTTCCTGATGTGAACATTTTGTAAGTGTTAATATATTTATTAACTGTTCCTCTTATTAAAACAAAAAATTATGATATTAATCACTTCGTCTGCTTCTAATTTAAAATGAATGCATTTCTGTAAACCGATAGTCTCAATTTACATTGACACTTTGCCTTTTTTTTTCCTATTTCTGAAACAAAATGCTTTCTCTTCTTTTAAAAGGAATTCCAGACCTGAACTACCAGGTGGATGTTTTCCTTGGGGCTTAGGGTATTCTGAAATCACTTCACCGATATAAAAAAAATGGATCGATCTAAATCAAGCTCTTAGGCTTGTACCCCTATTCTAGAAACTTACAGGGATGGAGGAATGCCTAGTTTCTTTTCAGCTTCTAGAGTTCACTCAGCTCCATCTTTTTAGTTAGTTGTTTTTTGTTGTTGTGGGTTTTTTTTGTTTTTTTTTTGGTAATTCTCACCTGAGGATATGTTTTTATTGAATTTGGAGAGAGAGAGACAGAGAGACATAGACATAGATTTCAACATTGAACATAGATCTGCTGCCTCCCATATACGCCCTGACCAGGGATTCAACCCGCAACCCAGGTGTGTGCCTGACGGGATATGGAACCCGTAACCTTTTGGTGTACGGACAACGCTCCAACCAACTGATCCACCCAGCCAGGGCTTTTTTAGTTTTAACATCAGTCCAACCTCTCTCTTTCCTATGTTTCTCATATTCTCATCAGCCGTTTGGACATCTTCCTTTGTGAAATCTTCTTGGCTTTTTTCTTCTTCTTAATTTTGTTAGGTTGTCTTTTTTTTAGTAATTTGATAAATTCTCTACATATTCTGGATGTCTCCATTAGTTTTTGAGCACTGACTTGCTTTCTGCCTACGCTATTGCTCCTAGTGGGAAATTATATTTGGAAACTAAACATCTGCCTGCTAAGTGTGCCCATTACTACTGCAGGGTCCTTGCTTCTTTTAGTGGAAGGGCTAGGATGGTACTTTATATAGGCAGAAGGACAGACAAACACAAACATATCTATTTAATTTAATTTATTTTGATACCTTCAACTCATCCCTAACCTAGAATTCTATATTTATAGCTTCTTTCTCTGACATTGAGAGTCCTGATATTTACTCATTTGTACTATCTGAAATATACAACCAACAACAAACCTTCTACCAAGGATCCTGAAATGAGGCTTAGGTAATATAATAGAGCTATTGCGGTTATGGGAGCAAGAGAGTAATTTGGGAGTCCATGTAAGAGTGATTAAGTTCTTGACTCCATTTTCCAATTTTGAGATGTTCACCATGTAAGTTTACTACTGGTAGGCTCATTTTTCTTATCTATAAAATGAGGATGGTAATAATATCTACCTTACAGAGGTTAATTTGTAAAGCTTGACAGATAGTAAGTATTGAGCAAATGTTAATTATTATTATTAATATTATTGTGTTTTAGAAGTTTTAATCTGAGAGCAATACATAGTAGCCTAGGCATAAACCATTATTTGAGAAATACTTGAAACAGGTAAATAGAAAGGAGATAATAGATACTAGGAATATTTTAGATGAATGTTATTAATGTTTTAATTTTATATAGCTTTTAAAGTATTTGATATGGTTCTTTATGCTGTTTTACTGTATTCATGTGTTCATTAATATCAATAGTTAATCTGACAACTGAATGTAACTTTATAATTTCCAAAGCGCTTTCACATTATCGAACGTGATCCTCAGATCCATTCTGTGAGATATTTCCATTTTCGGAGGCCCAGAGAGATTAAGTGATTCATTGACAATCACACAGTTAATAAAAGGACCAATTTAATGCTGGAATTTCCATGTACCTATCCTAGTGCTTTCTTTTATTATATCACTAGAACCCCGTGCATAAAATTCTTGCACTCCTGGGCGGGGGCGAGGGGGTCCCTCAGCCTGGCCTGTACCCTCTCGCAGTCCAGGAGCCTTGGGGGGATGTCCAACTGCTGTGGAGGCAGGAGAGGCTCCGCCGCCTAGGTTGTGCTCACCAGCCATGCGCCTCGCATCTGGCTGAGTTATGCTCCCCCTGTGGGAGCACACTGACCACCAGGGGGCAGCTCCTGCTTTGAGTGGGATCAGGCTGAAGTCAGCTGTTTGACATCCCCAGAGGGGTCCCGAATTGCAAGAGGACACAGGCCAGGCCAAGGGACCCCACTGGTGCACAATTGTGCCAGCAGGGACACAGGAGGTTGGCCAGCTGGGGAGGGACCATGGGAGGGCTCCAGGGTGTGTCCAGCCCATCCCAATCAGCCGGACCACAGCAGCAAGCTAACCTACCAGTCAGAGCGTCTGCCCCCCTGGCGGTCAGTGCACGTCATAGCAAGCGGTTGAGCAGCCTTAGCATATCATTAGCATATTATACTTTGATTGAACAGATGATGGACGACCAGACACTTAGCATATTAGGCTTTTCTTATATAGGATGACAAGAACTGATGTAGGAAGCAGGGCACAATTATGAAAAACTATTACTAGTACTTTGCAAGAGTTAATATCTTTCTATAGTTGTCTGCCTCAATACCAAGAAATAACCAGGATATGAAAGGGGACAGACAAGTTGAGTCTACTAGTTATCTAATCCTATATAATAAAAGCACAATATGCAAATCGACCGAATGGCTAAACAGCGGAACAACTATCTGGATGACCATCTGGGACCACACTATGACACCCACTGGTGCCAAGCTAGCCAAGGCAGGCGTGATGTGATTGGTCGGGGGTCTGGCCATCACCCCATGATCGCCCCACAGAGGGAGGCCCAGGCCACTGGTCAGTGGGCTGCAGTGGGTGGGCGGGGCCTCTCGCTGTGAGGGAAGCCTGGTTCCCAGGTACCGGTTGAAAGGAAGGCCTACTCTTGCACAAATTTTGTGCATCGGGCCTCTGCTTCATATATAAACCCAGTGGTATTTGAATAAACTATCTGTTCAGTAGATCAAACTACTAAGTGTCTATAATTTGTCATTTAAAAATATTTTTAGCAGAAATGAAAATAAGGTGTTGCTTTTCTGCACCAAATTGTTTATTTAGTACATTCTAGGTGATTATAAAATATTTTACAATAGAACTATTTCTTAAATGTTTTAAAATAATATTATTCATGAAACTTTTTGAAATTTACCATCAGGCCAATGGTGACAGAGTCTACATAGAACTATGCTTCGTGGTGTTCTGGGGAAAACCTTTCGACTTGTTGGCTATACTATTCAGTATGGCTGTATAGCACATTGTGCTTTTGAATATGTTGGTGGTGTTGTCATGGTAAGTTTTTACTTTCGAGAAAATAATCATTTTAAATATATACTTTTTTAAATAGAAGGAAAATGTGTTTTCCCCTTTATTACAATTGACGTTATTAACTTAATGAATAAAGTTCGACTGCTAAAGTAAATTCTTTCTAAATTTTTGGATGTAAGAGAATGTATTTGTATTGGCACTGATATAAAATATAAGAACCATTATTTTAAATATGGTTCTGTATTATGTTTCTGACAGTGCACAAAAGACCCTATTAATACACTAAGAATAATAATTTATACCATTTATTGAATGCTAAAATGTCCAGGATATATTTGATGTTTTACAATTATTAACACATTTAATCTTTACACTCTGTGAGATACGTATTAGAAATCCACTATACTATGATGAAACAGGCTCAGAAAGCTTAAGTAACTTGGTCCATGTCTCACAGTTAGTAAGTAGACTTGGAATTTCAACAGACTTTTCTCCAGTTTTCAAAACTGCTCCTCTTAAACATGTGATTGACTGTCATTAAAACAAATGATTATTCTGCCTTGTGTTAATATTAAAATGTGAAGGATGCCCCCCCACCAATGATATTTTTAAATATAGAATTATGAATCTATCAACCATGACTATACTAAGCTTTTATCATGGTAAGGAAATAATTGATTGAATATCTAATTAGTGGGTTTTGTTGGTGGTGTTCCTGTTTTTATCAGGTTTAGCCTAAGAGATTCAGTCATACAACCTCAAATATTCAGCAAATATATTTAACTGAGACACACCCCCCCTTTGGATTTTTAAAATTTCCAGTGGGCTATAGAGGTAGCAAACATGAACTTTCATTGTGCTCTTTATTATTTTCTGCCTGGGTAAGAAGATTTGACTAAAAATTATTTGACTAAAAAGTGGAGTAATAGAGACTATTGTATTTAGACTTTTTAGGTGGCAATGATCACTTTATTATAGCTCTGAGGTATATATACAGAGATTATTGTTTAAAGACATACTAATATGAAGTCTTAAAGTGCATCTTATTACGCCAATATTTTTTCAGTATAAAATAGAAGTTGCAGCCCCATCAATGGGTGAGCTGCTTTCTTGGAAAAAGGCATCAACTAATTGCAAGTAATTTGATACCATTTAATAAATCACTGATATTTGACAATAAGAAGAAAATAAATCATTCATTTATTCATTCAACATGGTTTTTTTAAAGTATCAACTTTATGCCAAGCCCTGGCAACATGAGAGACAAGGTCCCAAGCCTCATGGAGCTTACTTTCTGCCGAATGCCTCAGATTTGGAAACACCGATATTGTTATTTTATTCATGTATTACAACGTAATATTAATAAACCATTTTTAATATATTTGCTTAGTGGCCACTCAGTAGAGTTGAACTTCTCTGGGAGCTGCCAGCTTATGATGAGTCATCCTCCAGGCATGGAGAGCATTGGCTTGATTTCTTTTGTTTAAGCCTGCTTAGATGTTTGTTATATTTAAAAAGGTTTTCAACTCCAATCACAAAATTATGTCTTTTCAGTGTTCTGGACCATCAATGGAGCCTACGATTCAAAATGCAGATATTGTCTTTGCAGAAAATCTTAGTCGACATTTTTATGGTATCCAAAGGTATATTTGTCATAGATATATTAAATTTGTGGTGGAAATACACATAGACATTGTGTCTTTCCTGCAGCCTCTTAACTTTATCTTTAAAAACTCCCTTGTAAATACAAAAGAGTGACAAGCTAGATAAAATTTTGATGCAAATATTTTCTCTCAGTTTTGAGAAATTTTAATAGTTTCTGTGGCATGCATTGTCTTAGGTCATTATGCCCCTTGCGTCATTGTCCAAAATAGATAGCAGGCACTTTTATTATGTACATTCAAGCCTACCTTACTCTTTTTGGGGGGCAGTGTTTGGCTAGAGAGTTTTGAGGCAAGAGTTAGGAACTTATGAACTACTTTGCATATCCAAATCATTGATTTGGTTTTTCATGTTTAAAATAATCCTATTTCTATTGATGACTATCTTATTCTCAGTGGCTTATGATGAGCACTTGATGACTTTAGTCTATAACATTGTATATAGCTCTGAGTGAGGAATCTTATCCTATCTAATAAAGAGGGAATATGCTAATTGACCCTCACATCGTTGCAAAGATGGTGACACTCATAGCCAATAAGGAAGGAATATGCTAATTGAATGTCCCCCCTCAAATATGGTGGCACCCACAGCCAGTAAGGCAGGACTATGCTCATTGATCGCCATGCCCTCAAAGATGGTGGCACGCACAGCCAATAAGGAGGGAATATGCTAATTGGCTGCCCCACCCTCAAAGCTGGTGGCGCCTGTAGCCACAAGATGGCAGCGCCCAGTCCCCTCAGCCCCACCAGGGCAGCAGGTACGTGGCAAGGATGGGCCCACCCCAGGCAGGCCTGGCCTCTTCGCACACCTGCCTCTGGAGTTCCCCCAGTCCTCAGCCCCCCAGCCACCCAGGGCCGGCCCAAGGTGCAGGCAAGCCTCAGGTGGTGGCTGCCAGGAGTGGCAGCAGCAGAGGTGTGATGGGGTGTCACCTTTTCCTGATAGTTGGGTTGCCTCCCACCCCTGAGGGCTCCTGGACTGTGAGAGGGGGCAGGCCTGGCTGAGAGATCTTCCTCCCCCCCCTCGCCCCCCCCCAGTGCATGAATGTACTGGGCCTCTAGTCTATTATGAGTCTCCTGATTAAGTTGAAAAACTCCATGGCAAATATTGCCACTACCGTAAATCATTTTAAATCCTATTTTAAATGGTGTTTCCAATTCTTAGATATTGTTTGTTCTAGTTAACTCTGTATTATTTCTTCTGAATGCATGTCAAGTATTAGTAATTTAATGTATTTTCTATAGGGTATCTCTGATTCCATAGAATTTTGGGTCCATTAATTTTTCATAATTCTGCAAAAATAAATTTATATCAGCATTCATCTCCATTAACTACAAATTTGACTCACTCGAGCTGTTATTTAGCTATGACCCAAATAGGTTTAGGCACTCCTCTTTCATTATTGACCTTCTCAATAGTCTGTTTCACATTACTGAAAAATCATTAAAAATGGTGTGAAATTGTTCTTTGCATTTACTGATCTTACCATCAGATTCTATAGATAGAAACTATCTCTATGTCCAGCCATTTGGTCTAGCATGGTTCCTAGGTAACTGTCCTTAAGATCTTTTACTACTAACAACTTCAAGATATGGGGGTTATAAAATAAAACTTATGTAATGGGTTGTGTTCTAGCTTTTTCTTTATAACTTATGTCAAAATAATATAATATAGTCTGTAGATTAATTGGAAATCTAGCCTCACTATAGCAGGAAGACAAGCTTCTGCTTTCCATGCTAAAGACCTGATTTTATTCTCATAGTTCTTGAGCATCCTTGACAAGGAGCTGTAATTGTTGGCTAAATAGTTTTTGAATGAATAGCTCAATATTGTCCTATTTTTAAATAGATACTCTTTGCATTCAGATGGGTAATACAAATAACTACATTCAGTAAATTAATTCATATACTTTGAAGGTTTCATTTGTATCCTATTCATTCAGGGGCCCATTAGGTTGAAAAGTAGCTCAAAATCTGGCATTTTATGAGACATACTAAAGTAACTTTTACAACCTTAGTAGTCAGTTGGTAGCTTGTACTTTAAAAATATTACTATCCTGAGTATTCTTTTTCTTTCATCTGTAGCACAGATTTCTTGCTTGCTCTATTTCTAAAGCTAGAATAGCCATCCATTTTTGGCAAAATGAAGTCTGCATATTTGGGATCTAAAGCACATGGATCTCTTTTGGGTCAAATGCACAGGACACTTATACTCGAAACACTGACAGTTTTGCTACTACTTATTCTTTCAACAAATCCTATATAATAAAAGGGTAATATGCAAATTGACCCTACTAGCGAATGACCAGTCGCTATGACACACACTGACCAC